CATACCACCCTTACAAATGATACCCTCTGCCCCATCCACCACCCATCCACGCGCAATACTCTCCCCCCTCCCCCCCCACTTCATAGCCAACACAAACAGGCTCGCCTCCCTGATCATATACCCACACCACCTTCAGAACGTGCAATGGCAGAGGCATGACGAAACCCCTCCACCTCGAGCTCTCTTCCCCGCCTTGAAATTGGTGTGTTTCCTTGCAGGAACACTAACATCCACACCTATATTTACACAGAAACTTTCAAAAACCTTTCCCTCGTTCAACACTATTCACAGGCCATTTACGTTCACAGTCATACACCGAAGGCCTCGTTATAGTTTCCAACCCTTCCTCCTCTCTTCATTCATCCAGGGCCCCTGCCCCAAAGAGCCAGCCACAAGGCTTCACACCATCAACCTCCCCCCTTTTTTGCGATCCTCTTAGCTCGACTACCTCGACAGTGCTCTTCCTTCCTCCCAGATCCTCTTCGGCCGGCGTCCAGAACATCATCTGAGTCGGACGACACCGCTCCTCCTCGTGAATGCCCGCCAACATCATGTTATCTTCTGAGGTTCCCTCACGATGTACCTCAACTCCACCACGCCTCGTTCCACAGCACACGCGACAACTCACGCTATCTAGTTTGGCCCTTTCAACCCTGCTATGTTTTTTATCCTTCCATTCTCCTAACAGGCACACCGTGCTCTCACCACTCCAGGAACAAAATCCTCTCTGGCGCGTCATGTTCCTCAACTCTTCTTGAAGCGCTTCCTCATTCCCTGCACCTCCTCCTGCAACATGCACTTCGTACTTTTCCCTTGCCTAGTAACAGATCCTTTATGTCACAGCCTTACCTCACACATGCCAGTCCTCTTCTTTGGAATCCTCCACCGCTTCACTCCACATGCCCCAAGCCTTCTTTCGCGTGGGCTACTCAACAACAGCTGCCACGCTGGGAACTGGTGCTTCACCAGTTTGTGCAGCGCCCTCCCTCTGCTTCACACACGCCGCGCCATATGGGCGTATGCCCCATATATTCTGCACGTACGTCTCTGTCCGCGTACGATACCAAACTTGCGTCCCTGAAGTCCTCCAACACGACATAAGATGGTATGGGATTCCTCAGAGTCTTCTACAGGAGAAGGTTCCCTCCAACGGCCCATGAAAGCACCAGCGCCACTTGCCCTGTTGTGCCTGATGTAGGGTCCCATAGCCTCAAAAACACTCCTGAGTCAGCCTCATCCTGCTCAAATGGACATTAGACGAAGCTTAACCCCACGTAAAAGTGGCGATACGTCCGATCAAAACGCACCTTCACAGCTGGAGTAGCGCAAGACTCACGTCTTGGAATCTCGTCACCAAAGACTCGTACACGGACGTGGAATTCAGTTTGACGAAGATTCTGTAAGCCCCATTCAGGGCAACACCATACACCTCATCGTCCTGGATACCATAGGTCTCCCTAATGATTGTTGGGAGTAAGACCTGCGCTGAAGAGGGAGAAATTGCCCCATGAAGCAGCTCAATACCGATGGTATTTATGCGCCTCCTCACACTCAGCGCCATGTTGATACAAGGTAGCTCGCCTGAAAACAGCAGAGGGGTGCAGAGCACAACCGCACTCTACCATGGTCAGGCAGCGAATAATAACTGACTATTTGGCATCATAAAACAGTAGGCGGAGCTTATCCGTAGACTTAGAGCCAACCAGGCACCATATGGGAACGCTCGGCTCCAGAGAGTGCCCGGAGATATCACTTCATTATTATGCTTATATCAGCTTATATATCAACTCTGCGGCATATTTATCTATCAGAATTGATCTAATATGACATAATAAACACTATAAATAACATACAAACATGTTATATACTCTAGACTGAATAAAATAAGCCATAATATGGCGAGAGACCATCGGGAATATTTCGATATAAATGAGTGAATCCTCTTATGTCGTATTCTTTGGTCTCTGAGTAAGAGAAAACGGTGTTTTGAAGAGGTTAACTGCACTAGAACATCAGTTTACTAAGAAATACACCTAAACAAACGCGATTTTCGCGATTTTTTTTTTTTTTTTTTTTGAGACGGTGGGACGGCCGGCGCTCCAGGCCGATATCTCGGAAGTAACTTATTCACCTAAATTCCATAATTCTTCCTTTATTACTTAGTTAAATGGAATAATATTCACAGAAATTGTAGAATAATGATTTCTCTATTTTCCCCCATTTCATTTTTGGAAATATTCCAAATACTTTCGGAGTTATGTGGGAGTAAAGGGCAGATTTTTTGCAACATTCCAGGAACTAACAAACTTTATTTTTTTGTGAAATAAAGATAAGTTATTTAGAGGCAAGGTTCTGGGGTAAATACGTATAAGCATTGTTCTCTCGGCACCAAGTGTCCGAACAACCTTACGTCGTCCCATATAGGAAAAATGTTTTACACAAGGGCATTTTCAGTAAATCAGTCCTTTTTCAGTCTTTTCTCAGTTGTTGTTTGAGGTATATTTTTGATAAATATTTTCAAGAAAGAGTGAAAACACTTTGTCTTGTGCACCAAAACTGGAGGAAATCGGACGGTAAACAAAAGAGCTACAATTTTTTGACAGACCCCACCCTCAAGACTACTATTAAAAAACTAAGCTATGTATCCAAACTCCAAAGCCAAAACAAAAACTTACTCTTCTTCAGGTTTGCGTAGTTGTCACAGAGGTTTCTTCTCTCGATGACTGCAAGAGTTGTGATGTACTCACCTAGTTGTACTCACCTAGTTGAGGTTGCAGTGGTCGAGTCCTAGCTCCTGGCCCCGCCTCTTCACTGGTCGCTACTAGGTCACTCTCCCCGATCCGTGAGCTTTATCATACCTCTGCTTAAAGCTATGTATGGATCCTGCCTCCACTAGAACAGACCGATAGCACTAACATCCCATATCATAAAAATCTTTGAAAGAGTCCTAAGAAGCAAGATCACCACCCATCTAGAAACCCATCAGTTACACAACCCAGGGCAACATGGGTTTAGAACAGGTCGCTCCTGTCTGTCTCAACTATTGGATCACTACGACAAGGTCCTAGATGCACTAGAAGACAAAAAGAATGCAGATGTAATATATACAGACTTTGCAAAAGCCTTCGACAAGTGTGACCATGGCGTAATAGCGCACAAAATGCGTGCTAAAGGAATAACAGGAAAAGTCGGTCGATGGATCTATAATTTCCTCACTAACAGAACACAGAGAGTAGTAGTCAGCAGAGCAAAGTCCGAGGCAGGCACGGTGAAAAGCTCTGTTCCACAAGGCACAGTACTCGCTCCCATCTTGTTCCTCATCCTCATATCTGACATAGACAAGGATGTCAGCCACAGCACCGTGTCTTCCTTTGCAGATGACACCCGAATCTGCATGACAGTGTCTTCCATTGCAGACACTGCAAGGCTCCAGGCGGACATCAACCAAATCTTTCAGTGGGCTGCAGAAAACAATATGAAGTTCAACGATGAGAAATTTCAATTAATCAGATATGGTAAACACGAGGAAATTAAATCTTCATCAGAGTACAAAACAAATTCTGGCCACAAAATAGAGCAAAACACCAACGTCAAAGACCTGGGAGTGATCATGTCGGAGGATCTCACCTTCAAGGACCATAACATTGTATCGATCGCATCTGCTAGAAAAATGACAGGATGGATAATGAGAACCTTCAAAACGAGGGATGCCAAGCCCATGATGACACTCTTCAGGTCACTTGTTCTATCTAGGCTGGAATATTGCTGCACACTAACAGCACCTTTCAAGGCAGGTGAAATTGCTGACCTAGAAAATGTACAGAGAACCTTCACGGCGCGCATAACGGAGATAAAACACCTCAATTACTGGGAGCGCTTGAGGTTCCTGAACCTGTATTCCCTGGAACGCAGGCGGGAGAGATACATGATTATATACACCTGGAAAATCCTAGAGGGACTAGTACCGAACTTGCACACGAAAATCACTCACTACGAAAGCAAAAGACTTGGCAGACGATGCACCATCCCCCCAATGAAAAGCAGGGGTGTCACTAGCACGTTAAGAGACCATACAATAAGTGTCAGGGGCCCGAGACTGTTCAACTGCCTCCCAGCACACATAAGGGGGATTACCAACAGACCCCTGGCAGTCTTCAAGCTGGCACTGGACAAGCACCTAAAGTCAGTTCCTGATCAGCCGGGCTGTGGCTCGTACGTTGGTTTGCGTGCAGCCAGCAGCAACAGCCTGGTTGATAAGGCTCTGATCCACCAGGAGGCCTGGTCACAGACCGGGCCGCGGGGGCGTTGACCCCCGGAACTCTCTCCAGGTAAACTCCAGGTCATGATACAATAATGAAAAACATTTATGAGATACAATTTATGAGATACAATTATTCAGTATTTATTTAGTTGTGGGTAAGTGATTTTTGAGAAGAGACTTTAATTTATAAACAGTGTTTCTTTTACATTCACAGGTAATGAATTCCAGATTTTAGGGCCTTTTATGTGCATTGAGTTTTTGCGTAGCGTGAGATGGACACGAGGAACATCAAAGAGTGATCTGTGCCTTGTGTTATGATCATGTGTTCTGTTGAGGTTGGTAAGATGTTTGAGGGGAGGGTTTATGTATGTAATAAGTAATAAGTATGGATGTTTTGTATGGTAAGTAGGCTTAGAGTTTTGAATATTGGTAGAGTGTGCTGCCTGTAGTGGGAATTTGTTATCATTCTGACTGCTGCCTTTTGTTGGGTAATTATGTATGATAATTCTATGTAACTGTATTTGTGTATACCTGAATAAACTTACTTACTTACATAACTATTCAGCGGTTATCTGGGAAAGGACGGTCACTAACTCAGAAAGTGTGTCAGGCTTCACCGCTACTTTATCAATATTTAAACGTGGGGGCGTTGGGGAATTTAGATAATTATATATATATTATTACCTAAAACAATTATAATACTCTAACTCTTCTTTTGGACTCCATGAGGCAAGAACAATTACGGTAAAGCTGTGAGTGGCCCTTTACCCTAATAACAAGTGATGCAATAAATTCATCAGCAGTCGATCACTGACTAAACTTCCTTAATTGGAGAAGAAATATTACAAGATCATGAACTATTAAACACATGGGACAGTAAAAGTATATGTATACTTTACGTAAGTAGAATTTTATATGCTTTATCTGTACTCTTTAACGAGTTAATGCGACTACAGGAAAAGGTCAGCAAGCCTGCCAATGCAAAAAAAAAATAAATAAATAAAATCACACTTATTTGACAGGACAGTGCTGTATAGCCCTTGTGGTTTAGCGCTTCTTTTTTTATTATAATAATTGACAGGACAGTAGTGCCTCCCTAGATAGTTGCTGAAGAAAAAGAAGAAAGGAAAAACTGGTTTAAGCAGTCTGTATGTTTCTGGAAGAAAATAGTATAACAGTTTAGACAGTAAAGTACCAGAAACTTGTAACAGTTTTTAAAACACAACTGTATTTGAGGCTTGTGCACCGGCCTTAATTAAATTTTTATTTTGGGGTTTGTACATAAATTCAAATTTTTAAATGGTCTTGTAACTTGTGTAGAATATAATCTAGGATAACCCTATTAAATCAAACACTGACTTGCTTATAATGCGTATGTATCTTTGGTACCACCCTATAATAGTAATAATAATAATAATAATGATATCCTTATTTACTACAAGTACATGTACAAGGTATACAGTCCTAGCTGACATCAATAACATACTACAATATAAAAAGCTGCTTGTTATACTGAGCATTTCAGGCAAGTTAGGTCAGTTTTATCCCAGGATGCGACCCACACCAGTCGACTAACACCCAGGTACCCATTGGCAGTATATGTAATAAAAGTACAAAATCATACAAAGAAAGAGGGATCTAGGAATTATTAATCAAAAACTGTCACTTAGAGATCATGTAAATGAAATTGTGAAAATTGAATATGTTATACTAACAGTAAAATATATAGCTTTGAAATATATGGATGAAGAGACTCGGAAAAAAACGTTTACAGTGTATATTGGGTCAAAATTGGAATACAGCTATTATATACTGTGGCACCTAAAAGGAACATGTGGATCAGATAAAGAAAGTTCAAAGAAGAGCTACAAACTGGATCCCAAAGCTAAAAAGTAGATATAGCAAAAAGATTTAAAACATTAAAAATGCTCATGATGATTGATAGAAGGTGAAAAGGAGATATAATAATCTATAAGGTTATAAATGATGAAAGAATAGATAACTTGGATAATAAGAGGCCATAGATCAATGAGATACTTGGAATTTTTTCTTTACAAATAGACTGATACAGTAGAAGACTGGAATAAATTGAAAGAGATGATAGTAAGTGGTACAACCAATGGAAGTTTTAAAAAATATGATTGACATATTAATGAAGATAGGGCACTAAAAGCACAGCTCTGCTCCTGTGGCTGCACTTAGGTAATTACAAGCAGGTTATTACCAATGTATACCTATGATTATTTCAAATATTTTATTTACAAATAATTCACTCGGAGTTGAGCTTTATCGAGTCATGACTTGATTAAGCTCAGCTCTGAGCATGTGGGATTGTTAGATAGGGGTGAGTGGAGGCAAATGTTTTTTTTAGGACCTGATGCACTGTTGGAGTGTGAACAAGGAAACATTTTTGTGAAAGGATTCAGGGAAACTGGTTAGCTAGACTTGAGTCCTGGAGGTGGGAAGTACCCTGCCTGCACTCTGAAGGAGAATGGGGATACATATTTGCAGTTTGGAGGGGCAGCTGAATGCTTCTGGCAAGACAACGATAGAGTGAATGATATGAAAGTGTTTCTTTTTTGAGTCACCCTACCTGGATGGGAGATGGCTAGTATGTTAAAACAAAAAAAAAAAAAAATATATATATATATATATATATATATATATATATATATATATATATATATATATATATATATATATATATATATATATATATATATATATATATATATATATATATAATATATATATATATATTTTTTTTTTTTTTTTTCCAAACAAAAGCTTGCTCTCCATATTACATCTTCATACTCATGAAGAGCTCCACATTTCAGATAAGAGGACACCTTCAAGCAAACTGCTCCTATCTTTAAGAAGAAGTCTCCACAAGCTACTTGCTGATAGCATCACAGCAGCATCCGTGCACACTGCAATAGTTAATAACCTAGCAAATATGTTCAAGAAACCAAAGCTCATTGCATTTGATCTTGGTAAGTAAAGGCTTACTTGCATTTGATGCTGTAGATATTATGTAGTTAATAAAGGTTATATTTTGCCTCTTGTTTTCATCAAAAACTAAAGGTAATTATAATATAATACATCAACCCAGTTGCTATAAAATGCATGGCAAGCAGTAAGTTAGAAAAAGGTCTACACCATAATGATGGCTAAAGGCTTGCACTTGTTGTTTAGGGAAACATTACTGGATTTGGAAATAACAATCAAATTAACCTTAAAATTTACACCACAATGGGTGTTTTGCATGAAAGTAGGGTAACCCACAGAAAGAAACATCTTTCTTTCTTTCAACACACCGGCCGTATCCCACCGAGGCGGTGTGGCCCAAAAGGAAAAACGAAAGTTTCTCCTTTTACATTTAGTAATATATACAGGAGAAGAGGTTACTAACCCCTTGCTCCCGGCATTTTAGTCACCTCTTACAACACGCATGGCTTACGGAGGAAGAATTCTGTTCCGCTTCCCCATGGAGGTAAGAGGAAATACACAAGAAGAAGAAAGAAAATAGAAGAAAACCCAGATGGGTGTGTATATATGTTTGTACACGTATGTGTAGTGTGACCTAAGTGTAAGTAGAAGTAGCAAGACATACCTGAAATCTTGCATGTTTATGAGACAGAAAAAAGGACACCAGTAATCCTACCATCATGTAAAACAATTACAGGCTTCCGTTTTACACTCACTTGGCAGGACGGTAGTACCTCCCTGGGCGGTTGCTGTCTACCAACCTACTACCTAGAAGAAAGAAACATATTCACAACAAAACTGAAGATCATTGAGTTAGATTGAAATAATAAGTCATACTTTTAAAATTGTATAAGTTGTTCATTAGCTACAATTCTTATTGTGCATATAGGTAATTGTAGTTAACTGCATAAGAAATCCTGCTTAATAGTCTGTGTCTAATTTTTAAGTAGTCTTTACACATTAGGATTAGTTTTTCCAAAATGCATTGCATTACATTCCATGTAAACTCTATTATTTTTGTACTGCATAATAAGAAATGTAAATCTGAATTTGAACTATTCATTCAATAGTAATCTTGCCAAAATGGCATGGAGAGCACAATTCAAATGACTTGAAGAGTTGTTCAGTACAACATTAAACAATTTAAACACGTTACTATTCTTTGACATTGGCAGACATTTTTGGTTTAATAAATTAACCAAGCCTGGCATAATTATTACTTCTGAGAGGACAGTGTATAAAAAAATTCACAAAAATGTAAATAATATCTTTTTATTTGAAATATTTCTTAACAGACTACACATTATGGCCTTTTTGGGTGGATACGCATGTGGATCCACCTTTCCGCAAGCTAAAGTGAGTACTGTGTGATTTATTATAAATTTCTATATAATCACAGTATTGTATATAATGCCAAGGAGTAAACTGTAAAGATGGTGATTAAATAATCATTTGCCAGAGTGCTAAAAGTGGGCAAAAATGTAGATTTAAGCTTTTAGTTATACGTACTTACTGTATTGAAAAATTCATTCAAGAATGAGAGTGATTGAGACTGACTGGACCATGCTAATTGTGATCAAATGCCTAAGGATAACTAGGTAAAATGTAGATGATGATGATCCTTCCACAGCCCAGATGGAATTTGGAGTGATTGACTAAAGACATTTTTGTGGATGGTGTATTAGGAAAGTTTGGAATGTCAGATGGGGAATCATTAATTGAATTAAGCTTAATAATATTGTACCTCAAACAGTGCATATTTCTGAAAGCATAAATGCAGCACTGTATGACCCTGGTGGATTTAGTGCTTAGTTCTGATTATAATAACAATAAAATTATAAATAAGTATAAGATGCACAATGAAATTCACAAAAAAAGAATTCTGCTAGACTATGTGCTTGGTTAGGTAATAACTTTCAGATGCTCATTATGTATTTCAGAAGAAGGTAAGCTGGCTTCATATTTAATAGTTGCTTGAACAGGTTGTAAGAGAAGTTAAATAATTGGGTAAAAAAACATGTATTAATTAAAAGTGAATAAAGAGGGTTGAAATATGACAGATGGAGAGAACATTTTAAGAAATTGTTAAATGTAGATGGAGCAGAAATCTTTACATGGGTCAAAGAAGAATAAGATATACAAAGAGGAGGAAAGAGCTGGAAGTGAGTGTGAAGGGAGTGAATTGTCTGTCATACTATAATAAAAACCTATAGTTATAACAGTCCTTTATACAGATAATATATACTGTATTGTATATAATTTATAAGCTCAGAGTATATAATTAGTGGACATTTCAGGGATGGCCAGGTAGTGGATGCCAGGTCTAAGAGAGTCCACTATTACAAGGAGGTACCAAATGTGTTAGAGAAACTCCACAATGAAGGTTATATTCTGGCAGCTGCATCACGTACTGGAGAAGTCGATGGCGCAAATCAACTCCTGAAACTTTTTGACTGGGATAAGTACTTTACTTACAAAGAAATCTATCCAGGATCCAAAGTCACGCACTTTCAGCGGTATGTAATAAATCACATTTTTTCTACGCCAAAATTTTGAGTTGAAATGTTGATATGCTTGTGAACAATTTATTATCAAAAGTAAAGCATATAAAATATTTTCAATTTGACATCCTTGTATCAGGATGGCAAACTGACATCTTTCTGTGGAGTATGAAATTTATCCATTGAAAACCAATAAAGTATTGCATTCGTCTGATAATCTCTCTTTATTTAGTTTAGTGTGCTGTGTAAATTAAAAAATTTTGTCAAGTGGAAGTTCTTCCACTCATAACTTAATTGATTTCATTTACTATTTGCCTCTTGTATTGTGCCAGAATTTACACGTGAATTTCATGTCATTAGCTCTTAGCCCAGTATGGTGAAGCTAGTAGTAGTTCATTTTAATTCTGTTGACATATCATCTTAATTTTTTTTATTTCTTAATTTTAGTACAGTGAATGGAGACAAATGGTTTTTGGGACCTGTCGAGCTGTTGGAGTGTGAGCAGGATAATATTTTGTGAAGGGATTCAGGAAAACCAGTTAGCCAGACATGAGTCTTGGAGGTGGGAACTACAATGCCTGCACTTTAAAGGAGGGGTTTGGGATATTAGCTGTTTGGAGTGACATCTAAACTGTCATATCTGGGCACCTCTGCAAAGACAGTGATTGTGTGTGAATGATGGTGAAAGTCTTCCTTTCTTTTTTTAGGTCACCCTACCTCGGTGGGAGACAGCCGATAAATTTTTTTGCTGTGCAGTGTTTTTGTACATGTACTTCATAGAGAAGCATACTGTAAAATACAGTACAGCCTCTTCTCACTTAGCAACGTACTTGTTTACTGACGAGTTGGACTTGCAACGGGCTCTGACCAGTATGCATACCTAAATAATGTATATAGAGCTGATAAAAAATAAAAATAGAACTGATTTCCTCTATTCTGTTTATTACAATACACAGTACATTACTGCATAAACATTTAAAAATATACCAGAAATTTTATAAATGGTCCAAAGGTGACATTAAAACAATATCGATTGTCACAAACCGTGACCAAGCAGGCTTTGAATAACAATAGACCAATGTCTAACTTACCAGTCCTCTCTAAAATCTTTGAAAAATTAATTCATAGACGGATCTATTCCTACCTTGTCTCACATAACATACTAAACCCCTGTCAGTTTGGATTCAGGAATAATAAAAGCACAAATGATGCTATCATACACATGCTAGAATTAATATATACCACTCTCAAAAAGAAAGAAGTCCTGCTGGGAATTTTTAATGAATTACGTAAAGCTTTTGATACAGTCGACCATGAACTGCTGTACACTAAATTAACATACTATGGTATAAGAGGCCACTCCCTCAACTACCTAAAGTCATACCTTAGCAACAGAAGCCAATATGTGCACACAAATGGTGCAAACTCTTCCACACAACCAATTACAGTCAAAGTCCCACAAAGAAGCGTCCTTGGACCACTCCTCTTTCTCATCTACATCAATGACCTACCGAATGCATCACAGCTTCTCAAACCCATATTATTTGCAGATGATACTACATACATCTTCTCTCACCCAAACCCAGCCATACTCGCCAGTACAGTCAATGCTGAATTGCAGAAAATATCTGCCTGGATGATGACTAAATAAACTTACACTGAATACTGACAAAACCTACTTCATTCAGTTTGGAAACAAAGCTGCAAATGTTCCACTTAACATAACGCTAAATGGATCACCCATCACAAAACTCACGGAGGGAAAATTCCTAGGAATCCACCTTGACAGTCGCCTCAAGTTCCAGACACATATACAACAAATAACCAAGAAAATCTCTAAGACTGTAGGCATACTATCAAAGATATGACACTATGTTCCACAATCAGCTCTCCTTGCACTGTATCATTCACTCACCTACCCTTATCTCACATATGGAATTTGTGCATGGGGATCAACAACATTCAATCACCTAAGACCACTAATAACCCAGCAAAAGGCAGCAGTCAGAATGATAACAAATATCCACTCCCGACAGCATACTCCACCAATATTCAAAAGTCTAAATCTGCTCACCATTTAGAACATCCATACTTATTCATGTGCCTACTACATGCATAGAACAGTACATGCAAACATAAACCCTCCACTCAAACTTTTCCTCACCAATCTTAACAGGACACACGATCATAACACAAGACACTGATCTCTTTTTGATGTACCCTGTGTCCATATCACACTGTGTAAAAACTCTATGCACATAAAGGGCCTCAAACTTTGGAATTCATTACCAGAAAATACGAAAGTAACTCGGTCTGAAAATCAATTTAAGACTCTTCTCAAAAGCCACCTAATCACCCTATATCTAGCACTACCAATAAATCTACCAATTACCTGAATCTTAAAACATCATGACTAGATGACCAAGCTCATATACAGTGGACCCCCGGTTAATGATATTTTTTCATTCGAGAAGTATGTTCAGGTGCCAGCACTGACCGAATTTGCTCACATAAGGAATATTGTGAAGTAGATTAGTCCATTTCAGACCCCCAAACATACATGTACAAACGCACTTACATAAATACACTTACATAATTGGTCGCATTGGGAGGTGATCGTTAAGCGGGGGTCCACTGTATTGACAAATTACCACATAGAAATACACATACCTACCAAAACCAGTATTGCCCTTCACCAAATTGTAGCAGTCTCATACTGTAAACTACTTAAAACTACTCCTGAATCATGTTTCATAAAAAGCATTTTTTAATACATGAATAATATTCTTTTGTTTGTGTAAATTAGATTTGCTTCTTATTAATAGAACTGCTGTACAACTATGATAATTTCTTTAGTGATAAGTAGTCAGTAAGTCATTGAATTTAGTCAGCCCATAATGCCAAGGCATAATAGAGGCTCTCTTTGCACTGCAACCCATCATTGTAAAAATATAATCTCAATGTACTACTTGCAAAGAAATAAATGAATCTGAATCTGAATAGTATGCTCCTCACTTAGCGACGAATTCGTTTACCAACGTGGTCTTAGGAACGGAGCTCCGTCATAAAGTGAGTAGAGGCTGTACTGTACTGTGTGAGCTATTACATTATTTTTTTCCCCTCCTCAACTGTTGCAGTTGCAAGAGTAGATCCAAGTTTATAGTTTGTTATAATTTTTTAACATTTTCAATGGTAGTAACATACATAGTAACTATCTGTAGCAAGAGAAGGCCTGTACTTCACTATTTGGTTGGTCATATTAAGTTATCAAATAAATTTCCAGATACCTTTGATGGGTTTCGAGAGTTTTCCTACTTTCAAAGCCAGGCTTGGCTGGTGCTTGGTTAACCTGACTGTTGCTGCTGGCAGCCCACTGGCTTATATACCCATCACAACTTGGTTGATCCAGCACTTGGCAGAGGAAATCGTTTAGTTTCCTCTTGTTCCAGCACTGTTTCTATCATCTGGGACTACATATGTTGATACAATACTCTCATACTGTGCCCACAGTACCCTTGCTTTTCACAGGGTTTATTCTACACATTTTCCCATGCCTCTAACTCCAGTGTGTCGTCGTATCAGTGTGCAGAGTTAATAGCATGCACTTAAGTATTGTCAACGTACTGTATATATTATGTATCTCTTTCTGTCCACTCTAGCTAGTACATATTTAGGACTTTGAAGCTTTCCCAGTTATTTACTGGCTCTATGCAGGCCATTAATGATCTTGAAATCTGTTTCAACCTTGATATCTCTCCTGCCATAAATGGAGTCATCAACACCAAACAATACTTGCCACCTCTAATTATAATTCAGACCATTGTTTTGTAACTAGGGAAAACTTTCTAGCATGCTATTGGCACCTCTTGCTCACTTTACAACTGTGGCCTCCTATTCTCCCATTTCATAATTTTGTGCGGTTATAATACTTTCTACTTTGTTTCTTCCTTTTCGAGTTACCCTTCCTCACCTTACTTGTAGCGCTATATGACCTTTACAGGTTTAGCTCTCTCCATGAATCTAATAATAATATTCTTATGGCATCAAAATCCAAGTTCCTGTTTGCCTTTGATCACACAATTTTTTAGGTCTTTTATCTTCATTGTGTAATAACTTTCTTGTGACCAGTTAAACACTAATTATACTGAGTATGATTCTGCTTCTTGTAAAAATCACACAAGGACATCATGAAATTTAGATAAAAAAAACTTTCAGGTAATCTGGATTGATTTTACAGACAGTATCCTATAGTTATACAGTGGTTCTAATTAGCAAATACAGTGTAATTGTTATAGGCACAAAACCAGGCATCCATGGTAAATTAAGCAATGTTTTACCTTAAAGCCTATCTCCTGCCAAGAGAATGACCTCAAAGAAGAAATGCATTCATGGCCATTCATTCAGTTGCTGTCTTGCCAAAAGTGTGCTGACATCACAATTTAGATTACCCTCAGCCTGTAACATCCCCACCCCTCCTTCAGAGTGCTGACACTTTAACCTAGGATAACCCAGTCAAGTCAAACTATGAGATTTATTTCCATTGAGGGACAAAATGGCATAGTACATAGGATTCAAACTAAATGATTAAACTTACCTTTTCTCTGAAAGATATCATTCTGGAAAATATTATTATTATAATAAAAAAGAAACGCTAAATCTACAAGGGTCATACAGCACCGCCGGGCAGGGAAGGATGCAGGGATATTGGGTAGCAAGAGGGAGACGGATGATTATTAGGTCATGGGGTGCAGCGGGGCAGTGGATAGTGCAGGGGTAGAGGGTAGCAAGAGATTAAGGTAGAAAGGGCTGTGAGGAGTACTAGAGGCAGCATCATCAGTTTGTGCAGTAAATCAGTTGCTGTCAAAAAGTCAATGAGAGAGTCTGGGTTAAAGGAGGGTCCATCAGCAAGAAGGGAAGGTAAAATAAGGGCAGTAGAGCGGTGATGATGTTGGAGGTAAATTCTGCATGCTTGTCGATAGAGTGGGCAGCCCAACCGAATGTGGCTAAGAGAAACT